TGAACTTGCGGACTATGAAAAAATAAATAAAAATGATCAATTATTTACGCATATGTTATAGTTAATTGAATTGAACTGAATACTACATATATAATAGCATTAAACAATAAAGTTAATAATTTATAATTTTTTAATCGAATATAAAAAATAATAAAAACAAATGAAAACAATGAATATCAACAATTCTTTAAAAATAAACATTTTATTGAAAAATGAAGTCGAATTAAATTGGATCGACAAAAAAACGAATATATATAGTTCTGACATAATCGAAATTACCAAACCCCAAAATAGCTAAACCGAAGTATTATAGAAAACCGAAAGGACCAATCCAAGTTCACCTGTCAAGCATTGCTTAGTTCGAAATATATATTTGACCAATCGTCCACAACTTTAATGTATGATGATATGATATATAGTGTCATGAGAAGAATTTAAAAATTTTAAATTGAGAAAATCAAAGGAAACAGATAAGAGAAGAATAACTAGAAAGAAATTCAAGTACCATTTGATTTTCCTAGAATTCAATATTTTGAGATGAAATGGTATCAACTAAATAAAACTAAACACAGAACAGAAGAATTCACCTCTCTTTGTCATACCATTTTATTGGATTGGGGAAAGTTCATTCACTGCCTACAGAGGAATTTCTTCAGTTGGATCAACTACCAAGAGATTTTCGAACTGCACCACAGAAAGGGAAATACTATCAGATGCCATTGTGAGCATAATCAATTGCAGAAGAGAAAGTTAGAAACCACTAAAAACAATCGGTTAACTCTACTCTGTGTGCAGAGCCAACCGACCATAGATAAACTATCTATTCATTTTGGTCAATTTTAGACAAAACATCATCCACAAGACAGCAGAAATACAAAAACACATCAACTACCCAAAATAACTCAGCTATGTGTCGCCTTCCTAGAATAAACAAGAACTCAGCTACGACCAATTTACCATAACTGCTTTCACCATGCATTGCAAAGGATGGCAGATTATAGGTACAGCCGAGCCGGTATAAAAATATCCATAGACCCACAAACTAAGGGTTGTATCAATGGGGTTCTGATGAAAATTTAAACAGCTAAAAAGGCCTAAACTCAGAACATAAGAAGAACTCACCTCGTTGTCACACGACTTCCATGACTGAAAGCAACCTCCGCGTTACAGCTCACCGAGAAAGAAGATCCAAAAAACTTTTCTCCAATCTCCCGACCGAAAGCATATCAACAACCATTTCCAAGGTTGAAACATCTGATGAAAATCCACAGCTTCGCATTTCTCGAATAAGCTCGATAACAGTTGTTACATGGCCACCTTTGAGATGACCTCGGACTCGGATCAATACATTATACGTACAATCATCTAGCATACAATCAACCTCTTTCATATTCCTAAACAGCTTATCGGCTTCACTGAGCAAACCTTTTCCACAAAATCCAGAAATCATTGTAGTGTACGTCTTTACATCTGGTTCAACCCCTTTATCCGAAAGTTTATTAAACAATCCGAGTGCCACATCAACGTTGTCGCCCATGCACAAGCCATTCATCATAATACTATGACAAATATATCGAGGTCAATCCCACTCGATTCCAACTTGCAATACAGTTCAAGTGCCTCGTCCAGTTTTCCATTCTTACAAAGACCATCAAGCACTACCGTGCAAGTTACAATATTAGGGTCCACACCCTGTCTCTACATCTCTAAAAAGAGTTTATAGGCGACCTTGGGATTTTCCGCTCGGAAAAATCCTTGTATGAGAGTGTTGTAAGTACATGTATCACCGACCAACCCTCTTCGAGACATCTCATGAAAAAGCTTCATACCTTCGTCAACCTTATTAGACTTGCAGTAACCATTTATCAGACAATTAAAAGTCACTGCATTCGGATAGCATCCTTTATTGACCATAGACTCGAACAACTGTTTCGCCTCGTCAAAGCGATTCTGCATGCACAACCCATCGATCAATGAAGTATATGTAATAGTATCCGGAACTAAACCTCTTCGGATCATCTCTTCGTACAGTTCTTTAGCCTCCAAAAACTTCCCATCTTTAAGGAACGCATCGATCAATGCACTGAAAGTGACAACATTAGAGACGATTTTTCTTTTGGTCATATCATTCAACAATCAGACAGCATCGTTCCATCTGTCAAAAACGCAAAGGCCGTTTATCAAACAACTATAGATGACAACATTTGGAGCAATCTCTTTGCTATCCATCTTTTCGAAAAGGCTCAATGCATCATCTATGTATCCACCTTTGCATAGACCATCAATGACCGTACTATAAATTTTGACATTGACCTCAATGTTCCTCTCCTCCATCTTCATGAGCAGATTCAAGGCCAAAGCACAATCACCCGACTTGCAAATCCCAATGATAATAGCGGCATAAGTAACTACATTTGGTTAACACCCCATCTTTAACATGTTATCAACTAAACTCACGGCTTCGGAAATTCTCCCCTCTCGACAAAGTCCGTTGACCAAAGTGGTAAATGTCACAACATCAGGTTTGTATCCGTCGTGTACCATTTGGTCAAACCAACTTAACGCCACAACAAGCTTCTGTTGTATACAAAATCCATTGATCAGGGTAGCGAGCGTTCAAGCGTAGAAGGGTTTGGCGGTGGTACCGGAGATCCGGTTGCGAGCCAGGGAAGACGAAACCCCCAGATTGAATTCCCAGGATGAGACTTTTGTTCTGTTGAAAGAGAAGATCCAGATTGAACTTGAGATGATGCGTTTATCAAACACACTAGCGGGTGATTCCAAAACTTCCGAATACTCGGAAAAAGGTTGAGCAAATTTGTGTAAGAAATCTGCCGCAAGAGGGACAATGCCGCAAGGTCAAGACTCTTCCAGATCTATTGAGAAGGAATAAAGAATCAAAATTATGAAAGCAAGGTTGAAAGATGCAAAACGATCGAGGAAAACCTGGACATTTTTCAGAGGATCCTTTCGGACCTTTGCAACTTATAAGTTCGGGTGGAGGAAGAATATCAAGCAATCTATCTATTAATCTCTCTTCCCCCGCCTCATGATCAACTCTGGGAAGTTCTCAAGCATTCGGGAACATCGATAACTCTAGAAGAAGTAAATGCTGCACTAAGATCCAAGGAGCTTGAATTCATGGCTCATGGAAAAGGAACTATAAACACTACATAAGCGCTATCGACTAGAGGAAGACTAGAGAAGAGGGAAAACGATGGAAACAAGAAATTTAGATCGAGATCTAAGTCGAAAACCAAAGCTGACTATCGGAATTGCGGGAACAAGGGTCTGAACAACAAAGGAGAGGCAACGGTGGTAAGAACAAAAACACCACGGATTGAGAGCCATATAACGGACGTCACAGAGGTTCTGCCAATAACCTGAAATGACACCAAGAAATGACAGGTTTACATCTCCTGAATCCTGCAATTATGGAAGAGTTAGAATAGGAATAACTCTACTTGCTGCATAGAAGGAATTGGAAACATCAAGACACATACACATTGGTGGAGGGAGTTATGAAGTCTCTGTCTCGGTCAGAGGCTTCTGGTTCGGTTTTGAGAAAACAAGATATTTCTCTTGGTTTACTAACATTGGCAGGCAAACCAGATCGGTTTTTCATTAAAACCCTTTTCCAAACAGATCTGCACCAAAAAGGAGAGAGTTTTTGTACTTCGACAAGAAAGAGGAGAAGAACAAGAGAGAGAGAGAGAGCTACCAAATCAATTAGATGCCATTTCATAACAATAATCACTGCCAACTACAAAGATATGTAAAACCGTGAGAAGAAAGACAAAGATGAAAGATCCTACATATAACCTCTACATGCGCTTTTTATTGATCTGCCTTCTGCTGCTGTTCAGTCCTGTTTTCTTTTGTAAAGAAGCAAATACCAAAAATAAGAGTTGGAACAACAGAACTTTCACCATGTTAGTTGCAACTCAAAACTCATACATACCTTTACAGCTTGTGCTTGTGCTTCTTCTTCTTCTTCTTCTTTCTGTGTTTGACATTATCCTCACTTGTTTCATAAGATTCCTTTGGCTCATTTAGATACATAAAGATGACAGCAATATGGCTATTGACCCCTGCAATGGCGGCATCTCAGAGACACTGCAGAAAAACAAGAGAAAACTTAAAAAGTTTCTCATAATATGCCCATCCTCAAATTATGTAAACCAACCCATCATTATTCAACAGTCAATCTTTTGGCACTTGAGAAGGGGGAAAGTACATTCAATGGGGAAAGTTTCCGATGGTCACTGTGACTATTCTAAATAATCTCATAACTCTACTCTTGTACGGCTCTAGATAATATAGTAGCTTTGACTAAACAGTACAGATCCAGAAAATTTTTAAGCAGTCACCGACGGAAAACAGAAGAAACCATAAACCCACAAATCAACGCCAATCTCTCCACTTCAGACATTAAGAAACCTTTAGCAAGAACACTTCCAGCAACTCATAATCTTCTCGTTCATCTGCCAGCAATTTCCACGATTGATGAACCGAATAATTTAGAAAAACTGAATTTAAAAAAGAAAAAAACTGCTAGTATCAAGGCCACGATGCATTTAACGCCCAAACTAAAACCCATCATGTAAATATATTAGTCCTGAGAAGCAGATTTTGATATCTCGACCATTATGTGAATTACGCAGAATATGTCGAGCGATGAAACTTTAAACAGCTAAACAAACCTAAATCCAGAACAAAAGAACACACCTCATTGTCACACAACTTCCATGACCGAAAACAAGCTCCGCGTTACAGCTCACCGAGAAAGAAGATCCAAAAAACTTTTCTCCAATCTCCCGTCCAATAACATATCAACAACCATTTCCATTGTTGAAACATCCAAAGAAAAACCGTGGCTTCGCATTTCTCGAATCAGCTCGATAACTGGTGTTACATGGCCAACTTTGAGATGACCTCGGATAAGTACATTATACGTACAATCATCCGGCATACAACCAACCTCTTTCATGTTTTTAAACAGCTTGTCGGCTTCACCGAGTGTACCTTTTCCACAAAATCCAGTAATCATTGTATTGTACGTTCGGTTCAATCCCTTTATCTAAAAGTTTACTAAACAATCCGAATGCTTCATCAACCATGTCAGCCTTGCACAAACCATTTATCATAATACTATGGACAAAGATATCGAGGTCAATCCCACTCGTTTCCAACTCGCAATACAATCCAAGCGCCTCGTCCAACTTTCCATTCTTACAAAGACCATCAAGCAGTAACGTGCAAGTTACAAGATCAGGATCCACACCCTGCATCTGCATCTCTAAAAATGAGTATTTATAAAAATTAAAATCTTAATACTTATGAACCGATTAAAATATCATAACTAATCATATGAGATTTTTCAGAATTCTACAAATAACGCATCTCTTATATAGAAAAAAAAAACTGACAGGTTGTAAGTTTGTTTTGCTTTGGAATTTTACAATGGAAACAGGACATGTGTGGCCTATGCTGTCGAGGTCACTGGACTCAGGCTGGAGGCATTGGCAAATTCTCAGAGGAATTGGGGAAAGTTCAATCACTGCCTTAAGAGGGATTT